GATTTTTCATCATCAATTAGACACCAAAACATTCAAATCACAACTAAATCTTTTATTGAAGATTTCAACATTATCAATAAAAAAAGGTAAGAAATTCGAATTTTTTTAAAAAATAAAAAATAAGAAATATGATTTTTTTAAAATAAAAGATAGGAAATGTTAATTTTTTCTATTTATTTACTAAGAATGTAATATATAAATCCTTAATATCATTTTAGGGGGAGATATGCATATTTGTATTGAATAAAGAAAGATGGAAAATTATCATATGAATGATGCGGATGACCTTTCCAAAAATAAATGTGGATTATTTGAAAACCCGCATTTGGAAAACTGACATTTCGTGAATTTAATAATTTTACTTCACATCGTCTTTATCCTTTAAAAAATGTAAGCAATCATTATGTACAAAATGTATCTATTGTGAAATTGAATCTTCTGTAGAATCAAAAGATTTTTCTGAAATTAACAAAATAATACCATTAATAACTGGAAAAATTACAAAAATGGAGGAAAAACTTGCAGAGAAAATTGATGAATTTATAAATATTCTATGAATGGAATTTGAGTTTAAGATTAAAGAAATGTATGAGAAAATAGAAAAAGATATAAAAAATTAGAAAAAGACAGAAAATAAGATTTTTTTACATTAATTTATAAGAAAAAAGCCATAAAAATAAGATTTTTTTACATAGTAAGAAATTTCCTAATAAAAAAAGTGATTCTAAAACTTTCTGGTTATTTAATGATTTTCGTTGGAGAAGAAATATTGTTCAATCAAGTGTTATTACCCAAAGTTTTAGTTATATGATGTCAAAAAACTGATAAATGCATCAAGATGCAATACAGAACAAAATGCTAAACCACTGAACTGTATTAACTATTTTGAACTGCATTCTCAGAAATATTCCAATACAAAATGTGGTTACAAAAGCAAATACTTAGCAGGTAAATTTCTTTGGAGGGGAAATATTGTTCATTGGTTGCAAAATCGAAAAGAAAGAACTCAATGGAATCAACTTTTTTTTGAATAAAACTATTATTGTCCATTTCCATATAAATCGAGTAGAGGTGAAATTGGTTGTCTTCCTCGTTCTTTTCATTTGTCGTTAATGCAAAAAGAAAGTCATTATATTGATGTTTGCAGTCGTTTGCTGTCATTTTTTAAGAAATAACTCAACGCAATAAATCAACTGATATTAGTAAAATACATTCATTATGAGTTCATACGCCGAAGAGTACGCATTAGAAATAGGTGGTAAATATTGTAAAGGTGTGGAAGAGTGTGGCGTACTTGCAAAAGGTTGCTTTGAAGCTTGTGTTTGTTTACAAATACGGTACTGGCTTCAAGACTTTTTTGACATAGATCATACGTGTTATACAGATGAAAATTGGAATTTCTTAATTGTCGACGATGTCTTAAAACGCAACAATCTTTACCATCAGTAAATGTTTCAAATGACTTTGGACTTTCTTGAATTAATTGGTAGTAGTATCAGAATTTACAATATGTGACCAACCAAATAAGTGAATGCTTTTACATGCGTTTGTACAGGGGCGGATCTAGAGTATGTCAAATCCGTCGCGCGACTGATGTTTGAAATTCAAAAATTACCTATTCATATTAATTAAAAATTCATTAATTATTCTTACTTTATTATCGCATTTACTTCGTGATAAAAATCCAGCTTTATTTATTATTGAAAACTAATGACTAATCCAATGAATATCTCGTTGGTAACCAGATCAGTTGAATTTTAATTGACCTGGAATAACCGACTGATAAGCGGGGTGGCTTGACTGGTTCGACGGATAAAGGAGTCTATGAACGCCAAAAACGCTTATTTTATTGGTCAATGGCCAGATCAGTGGACAGTCTGGAATGGTCTCGACTGATAATAGGGGTGGCCGGACGTATAAGGGAGTCCAATTGCTATCTTACAATTGGTTCATTTGAATTTTTGCTTTATTGTGATTGGTTTGACGGATTTCGACTGATAGCCAAATGAACTAACATAGTCAAGCGTGGTGTCTAGAATGCGAGATAGATCATTACATTGTGATGCCACAGATCTAATAATACACTAGATAGTGCAACTGACATAAAAGTTGAAGCCGGGCAAACTTACTTCCGGAGTATGGCAAGCCAAAGTGGACAAAAGTGTATTGAGTTTTAAAAATTGATATTTCAGTGTAAAACTAAGGAAATTGATAGTCGAGAAAAAGAAATCGCATGTTGAGAAAAAGAAATCGCATGTCGAGAAAAAGAAATCGCTTGTCGAGAAAAAGAAATCGCATGTCGAGATTCGAGAAAAAGAAATCGTATGTCGAGATTTCTGTCTTTACAAGAGGTCAGCGGTTGACCATTTCAAAACGCGCGAAGCAAACGCGGAAGTCTGATTAATATGGCGGCTGGGAAAACCATTCAAACAGCATAGTTGGCGAATTGATCAACAGAGTGCAGGAGCTTTATGAAGCGATAGCAACGCGTGATGTAAATCGCGAAGTTAGCGCGTTTTCAGGTAATCGTTCGAATGAAACAACACAAGATGTTCCTCAACAGCAAAGTGAGTCCTCTCAAACGTCCAGTCGCAGTCGCAGTTCCATTTCTAATCGTCCGGCTCCCTATGTAGCTCGACGCTTTTCAATTCAACATCAAGGTCATCAGCATCTTCTCAATCATCTAGAGGGATCTCAAGTAGGAAGAAACGAAAATTAACTGATAACAGGCCATTTCTTCGTGACTTAATACTACTTAATGGCCCCAACGAAGACAAAGTTCCTCGTCAAGGGGCTCGCGTGTTTTTGTCAGAGAACGGTCATGTTGTTAATGGCTGCCAATTTACAAAGAACATGACTGCAGCTCAAGTAGAAACCAGAATCATGGAGATTTTTAATGGTAAAATCCCAGATTTAGTTGACATTGAAATACTTATGTCCGTTCATACTACATTGGTTGCACCAACGTTGGATCCAGATCAGCTGGGAATCGATGGTGTTATTCTTCATCCCTTGTACAAGAACAAACCCGTCTACATTCGCCCAGACACAGAAATACTGAAATTGAATCATTTGGATGTAGATAACAGTGAAAAAAGAAGGTCTTCGGTTAGATGTATTTCAATGAATTTATACTCCTCCTCATTTTATTTTGGAGTACTGTGATTTCAGATTGTGTGTCTGATGATTTTGGTCTTTTTAACTTAAGTACAAACATTTTTAGGGCAGGTCATCTAGTGATCATGTTTACCTGTGGAGATGGATATTTCCTCTACAGGTATGTGTTACTTTTAGTCCAAGTGCTTTAGCGTGTTAAGGTTTTTATTTATATTTTATGCTATGAAATAACAATACAATATGTGTGTTGATTGGGCTATAGCTGAGTTTGGGTTAGCCTGTGCAAAATGATCTAACCTCAATTGTATGATTGTTATTTTATAAAAAAAAGATGTTTACTGTGTTTGCACTACTGGCTTATTAAAATACAGTAAACATTTTTTATTTGTTAGTTGTTATTGTTCTCTTGTATATTTTATGCCATAAATTTTGAATAGAATTTGCATATCAATTGTAATTGAATACAAATGTCAAAGTATTTATAGCTGGTGTCATGTGTTCATATAACGTAGTATTCCAAAAATTATCTCCCACATTTCAATTGAACAAGAACTAAACAGTACATAATGGTTGTTATTTACTTTTGATTTGACCTAATCTTCCACAGGATTGGAAATTGAAAAGTTTGACCATACACCAATTGTGATTGATAATTCTTTTATAGTAGAGCATTCTCAAACCTCAGCTGATCCAGCTTCAACAGTCCAACATCACTCCTCATATCTTGTTGAGCAATCCTTAACTGTTCCTGATCATCCATTAACTGTTCCTGATCATTCTATAACTGTTACTGATCATCCTTTAAATGCTAATGACCCTTTTCCAACTCCAACAGTGCAACTACCAGAAACATACAACATTCACCAACAAGGTAAATAAACATACATATGCATACGCATTTACCTTCAGTTGTTGCTTTTTTGTTTTATTTTTGTCATTTTTGTCACTACACAGACGTCCTGGAGGAGCCACAGCTGATCAACAATGACCCAGTGCACTTTGAAAACGAGTTGCAAGAGACAGTGGAGGTATTGGTGCATAGAACAACTATACGTGTTGATTTGGTCATGGCATTTAAAAATCCTGAAATATTGAAGTACTGCATAAAGTTTTCAGTGATAAATGCAAATGGGAAAAAAGAAGAAGGAACTGGGGAAGGTGTAACAAGAGATGTGCTTTCAACATTCTGGCAAGAATTTTATACGGTTTTGAGCATTGGAAGCAAAGAAAAATCTCCAATTATTCGACATGAGTACCAAAATGGAATGGGAAGCTATAGCGAGACTTTTGGTATATGGATATAAGGCTGTTGGTTACTTCCCATTGCAGTTGTCACACATCTTCATGTCAACTTGTTTGTTTGGAGACGATCACTTGACTAGGCCAGCTTTGCTCGATTCATTTCATTCTTACATCACAAGCGAAGATAGAGATTTTTGACAAGTGTGTCAGTAATGATTTTGACCCCACCAATGAAGAGATTATAGAGTTTTTGTCAAACTGGAACTGTCATAGACTACCAACAAAAGATAACATTCAGGATATCCTTTATGAATTAGCTCATCAAGAGTTAATTCAAAAGCCAAGATATATTGCAAATTGCTGGGGGCCTATCCTAAGCATACTCAAAGTTGATCCTGCTTTTCAAACAATAGAACGTCTCACAAATTTGTATGATTGCAAACGTCCAAGTGCACGAAAAATTCTTCGTATGATCGATGCCGAAACGGAAAATGATAGCCAGAGAAGAGCCCTTGATCATTTGAAGCGTTATGTTCGATCCCTTGAAGGTAACACCCTGAAAAAGTTCCTTCATTTTGTCACTGGCAGTGATGTCATAGTGTGTGATAAAATTACTGTTGAGTTTACATTGCTAGATGGTTTTAATCGTCGCCCTATTGTGCATACATGTGGTCCAATGATAGAGTTACCAACCGCATATGATTCATACACCGACTTAGCTGAGGAATTTAACAATATAATGAGGGAAGATAAAAGTTGGTCATTTCATATTGCATAAGTTTTTCTCAAACATTTCTATTGAGTGTTACTATTTACATTTTAAATTGTTTTGTTGAATTTGGATTATTATTTACAGGCATTTTTATCAAATGGTTAAAATATTTGAAAAAAACTGCTTTAAAATGAAAAAAAGTTTAACTGTGATATATTCATACATATCTGTTGTACTATCATCTGCATTATCATTGACTACTGTCCTTAATTGAAAGTCCTCGATAATATGTAGAGCTTGCAAGTAATGGTTGATTCCATTATCGCCATCATTTGACATTGGATTAACTTGGTCATTCAAAATCTGAAACTGCTCATCGGTTAGTTCCACATCAGAGTTTGGAACAACAATGTTGTTTGATGTGATAATGTCTGGCAATGGGCCTTCAAAATCTATTCCATACAATTCAAAATTTATTAATGATGATTCGTCTGACTCCAACAGCATGTTCGTTTGCCACATAGCCATAGGTGTTTGGTGAGAGCATGTTCTGAGCCCATGGTAATTCCATTGGGTAACAAATTCAGCCAATGAAGCATTAATTCGAGGTAGATAAACGAACTGTAAACAGAATAGATGCACCTCATTCAATGAATCAAGTAATGAATTCTCTTCCAAATGTTTGAAGATTCCTTTGTAAAGTGCAGATAGAACTCTGTTGACCTCAGCCCATAGTCTTTCTATCCGCTGGTTATGAACACTTCGACCAGCTATATAGCTTCCTCTGTCCATCCCTCTGCTTGAAATCATATATTTTGCCACCTCAAAATTTTCAACACCATGGTCTCCTCTCACTCTCGATGGCAATCCAAAATCTTCAACACCTTGCTTAAATAAATTCAAAACTGTTGATGCTCTATTATCAGTGCAACATTTTAAGTAAATAACGGCTCGACTAAATCCATCAATGCAACCATGTATAACCATCCTCCATGATATAAGCTTGTGATTTGAATCTAGATGCCATAAATTATTGGGTCCCTTAACATTATAAACTCTTCGACAAATAGCATATCTTCTTCTCAAGCTTCGACCTATAGGATCAACACGTTGCAAACTTTCCCTCACTCGTGATCTCTGAATAAGTACACCCCTTGCATGCAAACTTCCTTTAACATAAGTCTCTCCACTATATGGTGTCAATTGCAGGATTTCTTCTATGGCAGGGGTTCTTATCCTTTTGTTGGTCACGGACCCCCAAAACATTCTAATGAAAGCTTTGGACCCCTTTAGAAGAAACACATCGCAATTGTCAAAATTAGCTTTTAATTAACTTAGTAATATAGTCCAGAAATTTGCAGACCAAACAGAAGCAAATTAATAATTCAACGAATAATAATGAATAATAAATCAATTACCGAGTCAATTAAGTTATACAACAATTACAAAACCATAAAGAATCAAAAAATACAGTGCAGTAACCAATAAGTAGAACGCAAATAACTTTTTAAATCAATGCGAAGGTTGCTCCTGCTTATCTTCAACAAGAACACGAAATTGTGGGACGGTTTTGCCAGGCCACACGCATGTTATCCTTAGCATCCAACCGATTTCGCTGTTTCGTTTTGATAGCAAGAAGAGCAGAAAACCCTGCCTCACAGAGGTAGGTAGTAGCAAAAGGAATAAGAGCAACCATGGCTCTCTTCACCAGGCGAGGATACGCTTGTGCCAAGGAACACCAGAATTCTGCAAGGTTCTTTGAATTGAATTCGCTCCTTAGCATTTGCATTGTCCTCAACTCAATGAGGTCATCTTTGGCAAGATTGTCATCACCAATAGAATTTAGATCTGCAAGAAATGGGTTGCGAATCCACAATTCAAAATTCGGATCATGTGAGCAATAACTTTCAAAAGATTGCTGCAATCTGTCTAAATTTTCGCACATATTTCCACGTAGAGAGGAAAGCAGGGCTTCAGTATTATCGATTCGAGTTTGAGAGATCACTTCCTCCAGCATTGGGAAGTTGGCAAAGTTGTCTGTCTCAAGTCTTCTTTTCCACAAAGGAAGCTTTGCTTGAAAAGCCTGCAGTCTTTCTGTAACGTCCATAATCGTTACATCTGGTCCTTGAAATGACAGATTTACTTCATTCAAATGACCGAAAATATCTGCCAAGTAAGCTAAGCCATAAAGAAACTCCTTTCTGTCAAATTGCACTGATAGAGGATTTTGTTTTTCTCGTAAGAAGAATGAAACTTCCTTTCTCAGTTCCATCAAACGCTTCAAAACTTGACCTCTCGAAAGCCAGCGAACTTCAGTGTGGTACAAAAGTACTTCATGTTGTGCACCCATTTCTTGGCAAAGTCTTTTGAATATACGATTGTTTAAAGCTCGAGCTCTGACAAAGTTGACGATCTTTACAGAAACAGACAAAATTTCTTTTAAAGCTGGTGATAGAGTTTTTGATGCCAATGCATGTCGATGTAGAAAGCAATGAGTCACAATGATGTGAGGAGCTTCTTTCTTTACCAACGAAGCAAACCCTGAGGTTTTTCCAAGCATTGCGGGCGCTCCGTCGGTACACAAACTACCAATATTTCTCTTCCAATTGAAGTCTTGTTTGGCAAAGAAATTGTTCACCATCTCTAATACGTCTGCAGCCTTTGTAGTTTCTGAGAGAGGCTCGCAAAATAGGAATTCTTCTTTAATTGCATCAGCGTGCATATAACGAACATATACAAGAAGCTGGGCACACTGAGAGACATCTGTGCTTTCATCCAGTTGCATGCTAAATGGAAATGGTGATGCTTTAAGTTCCTCCATTACTTGTTTCAGAATATTATTAGAAATGTCAATAATTCTGGAGCTGATGGTATCGTTTGACAAGGAAACGGCTTCAAGTTTCATTCTTTGTTCTGTGCCACATACTAGCTCAGTCATTTCCAGAGCACACGGTTTTATCAATGTCTCTCCGATAGTGTGAGCTTTCTTTGCCTTGGCAATGCGGTAAGCGACCTTATAAGATGCTTCAAGGCAAGGCTTCTGCGTCTTGATGAATCCGAACTTCGGCAAAGTCCCTGATTTCTCAAATCGAGCCTTCTTAGAACGAAAAGAATCAACACTATCCAGTGCGTTTTTAGGATGAATAGATATGAGGTGCTCTTTCAGTTTCGCTGGCTTCAAACTTGCATTGGCAAGGACTTTACCACATAGAAAACATTGCGGCCTTTCGCTGCCATCACTATCAGTAATAAAGGTAAAACCAAAAGCTACATAATTTTCACTGTACTATGTCATAGACATTGTGTATGATTACATAGGCCTATTTATCACAAATGCGATGTGTAAGAAACATTAGACTACTAATTATAAATGCACAATAGAAAAGAAAAACATGTCAATCATACTTCAGTTAAAATTTAACTGTTAAATATACATATCGAAGGCGAAAACATCTTGTTTTTATTCCGTCCAAAGATTTGTGAGCATATATTTCGAACGATCATTAAACGATGTTGCTTTTTTAGGTTCTAATCGGTCAATAGAAATACGTAGCCTACTGTAGATATTCTTATTTGGATTTGCGGACCCCTTAAAGCACCATCATGGACCCCTTAGGGGTTCATGGACCCCAGGTTAAGAACCCCTGTTCTATGGTTTGGTCCAAACAACTGTCAGATACTTGAGAATAAGTTGATGCAATACCAAATTCTTCCCTCCTACGTGACAGGGTTTTCTCTGATACCTGTAAAAAAGCAGCAATACTCTTCCAGTTCATGCCTGTCTCTCGCAATAGCTCGATTTGTTCTTTGGTTATATCATACGCTGGCCTACCCCCCGTACTAGGGAGCATTTTCACAATTCTTTCCCTCTGCTGAGTCAGATTTTGATTAAAATTATTTTCCAAAACCTCTGTTATTTTTCCTAAATCTCTTTTCATGTATGCCATCAGATTATCTAAAAGAGCACCTAGTGAACGTCTTTGTATATTTCCACCAGTAGCGTCAGGTTCGCCAAATCGTGTCAGCTCGTGTTGTTGTACTTTAATAGACATTGCTGCAATAACTGGAATATAAATCTCAAGTTTATTTTTATTATATTCTATTAAAACTGGATCATTAACACGAAGACTCTGTGTTATATCAGCAAACAGTTTATCGAGGAAATTAAGAAATCGAATAAGCTCTTCCGTGTCAGACGCATCAGACGCCATTTTTTGAAAAGTAGAATGGTTTAGAAGCCGCTGACCTCTTGTACAGACAGAAATCTCGACATACGATTTCTTTTTCTCGAATCTCGACATACGATTTCTTTTTCTCGAATCTCGACATGCGATTTCTTTTTCTCGACATGCGATTTCTTTTTCTCAACATGCGATTTCTTTTTCTCGACTATCAATTTCCTTAGTTTTACACTGAACTATCAATTTTTAAAACTCAATACACTTTTGTCCACTTTGGCTTGCCATACCGGAGCCCCAAAGTATGGCAAGCCGTACATGACAAAGTCTATCGAGAAGAATATATTGTGTATCCAGTTGTATATACGATTACTTTAAACGTATACATGCGGTCGAGAAAGTTATACTGGCAATCCAAACATATATACCAATGATTGAGAAAATAATACAACACACGAGACAAATATAACATTATGCGAAACGAATATGTTTATCATCCAAATGCATATATAAGACGAGACGAATATAAATCGAGATGTTTGCCTGTATTTCTGGTCAGCGGTTTGCTATTTCACGTGCCACTTTGTTTTATTTCACACGGCGGCTATTGTGTATTTTGCGTTTGATTTTCTTGCTTTTCAAAAGATGCAACATTCTCTTGCAAATACAAATAGTAATAGCGTAATAAGAGAGTTATTAAGCAGGGTTTCAGAGCTTTCTCACGCTATTTCGCCCCAAAACGCTGAAGTTAATACCATATTCGACCGGAGACAAAGTCAAGGAATGGAAGTCTCACATTCACCGTCGAGGCAAAATACTCTTCCAATCCGTAGAAATAATGATAGCGTTATCACTGCACCAGCAAGACGTTTTATTCCTGCAGCGAGACCGCCACCGCGAAGGAGCAGAACTGTAAACAGAAGGAAGATTCAAGGTAGAGACAATCGACCTTTCTTACGGACTTGATATTATTGAGGCCAAATGAAGATGTGGTACCACGGCAAGGATCACGGCTTCTGTTAATGGAAAATGGCCACATCTTAACTGGTTGTAGTTTCACTAAAGGCCTATCAGCTGCAGCAGTTGAGATCAGAATAATTGAAGCATTTGATGGAAAAATACCCTCAAATGTGGAGATTGAGATTTTGACCTCAATCCACAACAGTTTAGTGGCCCCATTGTTAGCACCTGGGCAACCTCTTGATGGGGTGATGCTTCACAGAATTTTCAAACAGAAACCTGTCTATGTACGTCCAAGCTGCATGTTGCTGAATACAAAATCCTCAAAGCAATCCAGACAGGTATTTTCAAAGGCTCTAGGAGGGAATGAAAGGAAGTTATATTTTAAGGCTCTCTTCGCTGAATGATTTTAAAATTTAATTGTATTTGCTGAGCCAAATCAATCACTTAAGCCTCATCCCATCTTAACCTAGGTACATGTTATGGACAAAACATGCTTCCATATTGTCAATCAAATAATATTTGCAATTGGTAAAAAAAGAAATGCACCTTTTTATTTTTTTAAAGGATGATGCAAATATCCCTGATAATGCATTTAATACTGATGATGTTGAGGATCAGTCTGGTTCCAATGCTGGTAGTCTAGTACAAAATGATCTTGCCAATGCCACTGTTTACCATGGACAAATGCCTCCATGTGATTCCTCAAATGTGTTGCCATCAAGAGATGATATTACTGCCCCAGAACAGCAAGCAAGGCTTCCTGTTAATTCTGCTGATGATTTACCACAATTTCCTTCCACTTGTACGACAAATACAGTTAGTACAGGTCCCTCTGTTGACATCAAAAATGCTACAAGTTTTGATTTGGGAAACAACATGCTCACAGCTGTACAGAGACCAAGTGAAGAAATCTGTCTGTTGTCTGATGATTGTAAGAACCTTTTTTAATGCATTTGACTTCTTGATTTTAATACACATGGTGAGAGGGTCAGTTTTCAAAAAATATAGTTTTCTCTTAAGCACAATAGTTTTCTTACTCATAAAAATTATACTTTTCTCCTCAACACAATAATTTCTTTCATATAAAAACTATGGTTTTCTGGCAAACACTATAGTTTTCTTTTAAAAACTTTAGTTTTTACCAAAAAACCATAGTTTTCTATTAAAACTATAGTTTATTTTGTGTTAAGATTGTGCCCGTTGGGCTTTTTTTGTCCATGCTTTCTCAACTATCACACATGACAGACATTAAGAATTCCACTCCAATGGAAAATTTTTATTGATACTTTTACTTTTTATCAGTAATTCGACTTTGATACAAAATTGTATTTAAATGTTATTCAACTGTCTTTATCTTAATCATTGCTTAAGTATTGTATACATGCATTGACTAGTGAGGATGTAAAAATCCCACAAATACGTAAGTGTGAAGTGAGCTTCATAAGTTTACCAAGATTGCTTTGCCAAATCATACAATATAGTTAAATTTAATTTTTTTAGGTGATGATTGTCACCTTTCATGTGGTTTAGAAAATCCTGTAAAACATGTGGTTATACACAGAAGTAGCATCTGCAAGGATATCATCTCAATTTTCAGCGACCCAGCTATAGTGGATTGTTTACTCGAAGTTCAGGTACTGGATGAGCAAGGGAGACCTGAGAAAGGAGAAGGTAAAGGAGTGATGTTGGATATGCTAACAAACTTTTGGCAAGATTGTTTTAACTCGTTAATGGTTGGCTCTAGCGAAAAAATTCCATTTATAAGACACGATCTTCAGAAAAAAGAATGGGAAGCAGTAGCAAGAGTCTTGTTTTTTGGCTACAAGAATTGTAGTTACTTTCCACTGAAGTTGTCTCAGTTATTTGTGGTTACGTGCTTGTTTGGAGAAGAAGACATTACTATAGAATTTCTGCTCGAGTCTTTCCGGAAATATATTGCATCCGATGATAGAGAAGTATACATAAAAAGTTTTTCTTATATTTTTCAAACTTTCAGGCTCTTCAGGTTTTTTATAGGGTTACATATAAAAAATTTATTTTCATTTTTTTTGAAATGGCAATGCAACATGGTAATACGTAATGTGCAAATTTGATTGTTTTTTAGGTGATGGATTCCTGTCTTGGTGGTGAATTTAGCGTGGATGACGAAGACATCTTAGAGTTTCTTTCCACCTTCAAATGCTTCAAAGTACCAAGTGTGGAAAACATCAAAGCCATTATTAATGAATTGGCACACCAGGAGCTAATTCAAAAGCCCAAGTATGTACTTAATTGCTGGACTCCCATCCTCAGCCAATTAAAATATGATCAGTGTTTCCAAAGTATTGAAAGTGTCAGTGAATTTGACAAGATGAAAGAGCCATCATCCAAAAAAATTATTAAATTATTTAAAGTTGAGGCAAACACTGAGGCTGAACGACAGTGCCTTGAACACCTGAAGAGATTTGTGAAGTCCTTAGAAGGAGAACAGCTATCACGGTTTTTGCAGTTCTGCACTGGAAGTGATGTAATATCATGCACATTTATATCTATCACCTTCACAAGCCTAGATGGATTTCAACGAAGACCTGTTGCTCGTACATGCGTCCCAAGGATTGAACTGCCAACCACATATGAATCTTATCCAGCACTTGTGGAAGAGTTCACAAACATCTTAAAGGATGAAAAATCTTGGGCATTTAATATTGTTTAGATTGAGAACAACATTTTCACATTTACATTCTTAAAAAATTTGTGTTAAAGCTTTTTTAAAAACTATGAACATGGTCGTGCAAGATTGATAATTGTGGGGGCAGGGCAATGTTTATATACATAGGGCTTTTTGTACAATAGGAGCATCTTTTCGAAAAAGTTCTGCTATAGTTTACATTGAAAAAACTGGTTGTTATTGATTAAAATAGATCAAAACATACAAATGAATAAATATGCACCTCCCCCCAACTATCGATTTTACATGGCCCCTGATGAACAAATGTTTAGTATGAACTTCTGAGAAACTAATTATATTTTTCAATTTAACACGATTTGCAAACATTTTGAGTTAGCCCTGTGTAAAGTTTGTAAGTATTTCAACTGCTTCCAAATAGTGATTGATGCCATAATTGCCATCATTAGCAAGGGGATTAATACTATTGGAAAGCAACTGTTCCTGTTCTTCTGACAAATTTATTAAAGTGTCTGGTATAACAACTTCATTATCACTGCGTACTTGAGGTGTTGGTCCTTCATTGTCCACTCCATATTCTTCAAAATTAAGAAGAGAATCGGTAGTGTCAATCATATTTGTTTGCCATAATGCCAGAGGTGTTTGATGGCCAGTTGTCCTCATGCCGTGATGGTTCCATTGTTGCTTAAACTCTAACAATTGTTGCTTAAACTCTAAACCCTTGATGGTAGTCCAAATTCTGCAACCCCATATTTAAATAGCTCAACAACTGTGCCAGCCTTGTTGTTGGTTGTACATTTCAAATATATTATCAGTCGACTAAAGCCATCCACACATCCATGGATGACAAAGCGCCAAGAGATGAGCTTGTGGTTAGAATCTATGTGCCACAAAAGGTTGGGCCCTGGGACATCATAAACTCTTCTGCAGATGGCATACCGTCTTCTCATATTTCTTCCAATTGAGTCAAGCCTGTGTAGACTTTCTCTCACTCTTTCTCTTTGGACATTTATGTTTCTTGCTTTCAAACTGCCACGTACGTAACATTCACCACTATATGGTGTTAAGCGGAGGACATCTCGTATTTCTGCATCTAAGCTGTCATCTGTTATTACAGTAAAATTTCCTTCAATACTATACTCTACTCTTCTTCGAGCGAGTGTTCGTTCAGAGACACCAAGAAAATTTGCAATACTTTTCCAATTCAATCCTGTCTCCCGCAACTGCTCTATTTGAATTTTTGTGATATTGTATGAAGGCCTTCCGCCATTGCTTGGTAAAAATGAAATAACATCTCTAACGTTTTCATCATAAGATGTTTCCAAAGCAGCTGTAACCTTCTCAAATTCGACTTCCATGTCACAAATTAATATTTCCACCAGCGATCGAAGCGTTGGCGTTTGTATTTGTGCATTTTGCGTTGCTGTAAGGCAGGGATCATTTCGAGGATGAGGATCATTTAGTGAAAGTAAAATCGCAGAAGCAATTGGTATACAACGCTCAATTTTGCTTTTACAGTGCTCTAATCCAAGATGGTCATTTGATAATAGCGATTGTTGTGTTTGCCTGAACAGATTTTGAAGCGTATGTAGAAATTCTGTGAGTTCTTCATGAGATTCATAGCCAAAGGATGCCGCCATCTTGTCAATTGTCACAGGCTCGGCTTTCATTATTATCCATGTCATTTCGAGCATGAAGCATGAATCCATGCACTGTCGCACATGCATGAACCATGAGTCAAGCACGTGAAATAGCAAACCGCTGACCAGAAATACAGGCAAACATCTCGATTTATATTCGTCTCGTCTTATAAATGCATTTGGATGATAAACATATTCGTTTCGCATAATGTTATATTTGTCTCGTGTGTTGTATTATTTTTCTCAATCATTGGTATATATGTTTGGATTGCCAGTATAACTTTCTCGACCGCATGTATACAAGTTTAAAGTAATCGTATATACAACTGGGTACACAATATATTCTTCTCGATAGACTTTGTCATGTACGGCTTGCCATACCAAAGTAGTGAGAATCAATATGGCGTTGTATTAGAAAATATGTGGTCCAAGTTAATATCTCGCAATTATTAGCAAATCGCGGAGGTTGCATCAACTTTTTTGCACTATTTATGAAATAAATCATTGTGACTATAGTTTGTAAGAAAAAAATTGCAGATACGCCAATACATCGCCGTAAAATTGATTTCAAGTGTAGCTCATCTCACTACATCACACTACATCACAATGTATCACACTACATAACAATGCATCACAATGTATCAAAATGTATCACAATCCATCACAATGCATCACAATGCATCACACTACATCACAATGTATCACAATGCATCACAATGCATCACAATCCATCACACTACATCACAATGCATCACAATCCATCACACTACATCACAATGCATCACAATGCATCACAATTTATCACACTACATCACAATGTATCACAATCCATCACACTGCATCACACTACATCACAATGTATCACACTACATCACAATGCATCACAATGTATCAAAATGTATCACAATCCATCACAATGCATCACACTACATCACAATGTATCACAATGCATCACAATAAATCACAATCCATCACACTACATCACAATGCATCACAATCCATCACACTACATCACAATGCATCACAGTTCATCACAATGTATCACAATGCATCACAATGAATCACAATCCATCACACTACATCACAATGCATCACAATCCATCACACTACATCACAATGCATGACAATGCATCACAATTTATCACACTACATCACAATGTATCACAATCCATCACACTGCATCACACTACATCACAATGTATCACACTACATCACAATGCATCACAATGTATCAAAATGTATCACAATCCATCACAATGCATCACAATGTATCACACTACATCACAATGTATCACAATGCATCACAATGAATCACAATCCATCACACTACATCACAATGCATCACAATCCATCACACTACATCACAATGCATCACAATGCATCACAGTTCATCACACTACATCACAATGTATCACAATGCATCACAGTTCATCACACTACATCACAATGTATCACAATCACACTACATCACACTACATCACAATGTATCACACTACATCACAATGCATCACAATGTATCAATCCATCACAATGCATCACAATGCATCACACTACATCGCAATGTATCACAATGCATCACAATGCATCACACTGCATCACAATGCATCACACTACATCACAATGCATCACAATGCATCACAATGCATCACACTACATCACAATGCATCACAATCCATCACACTACATCACAATCCATCACAATGCCTCACAATGCATCACACTACATCACAATCCATCACACTACATCACAATCCATCACAATGCCTCACAATGCATCACACTACATCACAATGTATCGCAATGCATCACAATGCATCACAATGTATCACAATCCATCACACTACATCACAATGTATCACAATGTATCACAATGTATCACAATCCATCACACTACATCACAATGTATCACAATCCATCACAATGTATCATACTACATCAAAATACATCACAATTAATCACAATGTATAACAACGCATCATCTTTATTATTGCAATGTATCACAACATTACAATGTATCGCATTACATCACAATGGACTGTAATAGCGCATCACATGAGAATACAATATTGTGACTGATCACAGAACCACACTCGAGTGTCGTTATGTCTTGTCATGGAATAAGCGTTGCGATAAATTCATAAAATAATTGATATATTTATTATCAGAAATCATAAAGATGGGAAACTACAGTCTCCTGCCTTTCTTCAACTAGATGAAATGTTCATGCTCTCTTATGTCAAAAGCTTTATATTAACTTTTGACATTGGAAATTGCTAGAACACGTCTGATTAACTCAGAAATTTTCAATGATTTTGGACCATTGTCGAGGTATTACAGTCCAGTCGTTAGAATTGATTACTTTTAATTAAAAATTTCGTAAAATTTAAAAGAAACTCACTAAACTATATTTCATTGTTCGTCAAAAGTTCACTAATCTATGAACTTAATTTACGATCTGGCAACTGAACACCAATTGTCAACACTGCCTTCCCAAAATGAAACCCCACATAGATCAATGGAAACACAATGGCTATGACTGCTTGAACCATTGGCTCGAATAGACTTTTGTCGGGCTTACTAGATTCAAGAAAATACTGCGTGCTATAAAACAAATACACTGTTAGATGCTACAAGAGTGGTAAAAAACCCTTTTACCCCTCATTCATATGACAGGAAGCTAAAATCATTTACTTTTGAGTTAACGCATATTTCTTAACAATCGAATATTAGTAGTTTTTAACATTTTGAGTTTTGTGGTTAATTCTATTTTCATTACTTTAAAGTTTTGTTTTATCACTTGACATCGCGTTTCGATTAACCTGTTTTGAATATGCAGTATGTTCGTTTGAAATCCCCAAGTAAGGTATCGTCGATTAATCGAGTTGTCTCATCTTAATTGGGTTTTGAGGTGTAGTCTGTTGTGTTGAAGTGCATTCCTTTGAACAACTTCATCAAAATTCTTTGTTTTTTCACCAAGTTATATTAAATAGAAACACACATCATTAGTATTCCAAAATGAAGTTTTACTAAACGTTCAATTAAATTATGTACATATCTGCCAGTTACTGATCACTTGCTGTTAGTTACTCGGCAGCTGGGACAGAACCTTAAAAAGAAATCACATTCAATCCATCAGTTTGAATACTGTCTTTCACTATACATAACTAATGTATAATTCTGTTACCAAGATCGGTGTCTGGTACAACTTTAAGTTTCAAACAGACCATGTGGTAATAATTGTTTCCTGGACACTAAAATTTAAAGAATGCTATACATGGTACATCTATTAAACAACTCCAATATTTTATCTTTAAACGCTTTGTATTTTTTATTGATATAAGGCCTGGCTTTACAAAAGGAGCAGGAGGGGAATCAATTAATAAAACGATAAAAAATATTGGACCTTTCTTGTTTTTCTTTTTCTGTTTTCGCAAACAATCATTTCGTCTTCTTCGTCCTTTGACCTTTCCTAACTAAATGTGAAAAGTATGATAGTATATTATGATCAAAAGTACACGTTTATTCTTAAAAAACGAATCATAATTTTTCAAACCTTTTTGCAATAGCAATACTTGTATTTGGCTGCAAAGAAAAAAAACAATTGTTTAGAGATATGCTTGTTGTTTTCTTAGAGAACTTCTGCCTTGTTATCATATTTCATATAATGAATGATGAAGGCAAACTGTCACATATTTTGTTTTGCTAGCCAATTCGGTAATCTCATGGCAGGATAACTCATTTATACGGTGAGAAGTTATATTTTCATAACCATATTATTCTCAACACGTTACACAAAACACAATACTTTTAATTAAATACCTTTGTTCTTAAACTTTTTGTTTCAAACATGTCTCGTTCGCTCCCTATTTGCTTGCATCTCTTTTCTTTGATGCACTAACTGTGTTTAAAACATCCATTCTGTCCACTTCTCCCAGCTCCACTAATACAAACAAAACAAACAAACAACATTTGTATACCGGCCAGTATTAACCCCGCCAGTGGGGTTGACCGTCCATGAATTTTCCACGCCAAACGTCTCTATCTCTCGCCATATCTCTCGTTATACCCATCGCCTTCATATCATTGTTCACAGCATCCATCCATCTCTTTCTCGGTCTACCTCGTTTGCGGACTCCATCAACATTCATATGCAATGTTCTACGAATTTCAGCACTTTGCTATTAGGTCCACTAATACGACAGTATAAAAACAAAATGTTAGTACGATAAAAATTTTTAGACATGAGACAAATAGAAGAATCCTTAGCATAATAGTTTTCATCAGTGTATTTACCTTCCAGATTAATACCACTATCATCTAAATTTGTTGATTCAGCACCATATGTTGATTGTGTGTCAGGTCCGTCAGGTGTTGTGCCACCATACTCAAAGGGTGAGTTTTGCGTGGTGTTTGCATTTACGTCACGTGATGTGTTTCTTTTTCCATTTTCATTGTCGGATGTAGACGGTGTGTTTGATTCGTATCTTCTGGTTCTAGATGCTGACGGTCTGCTGCGTTGACAAATGTCCATTTCAGACGTAGACGCTGTGTTTGAATCATTTATGCTGGTTTCGGCGGTGGATTCCAAGCTGTCTATTGCCATATTTGTATCTAAGATGTTGAAGGCTAAAAAATAATGACTATTATTATTTGGCTTTTCAATAACAATCACACGTTTAGTCAATATGCACTTGAGATTTCTTTTCCAATAGCATCTGCTCTTAAATAAAATTTTAAAGAAACTGATAATGATAATACTTTGAAACTAACATAACATGACTAAAGAATAGCCAGTCTATTCCATTTGTAATCCTTTCGCACTTGCTTCCATCTGCATAAAATTAGTTGTTAAAAATGCTAACCTTCCGAAAAAACAATCCAATTCTCACTTCCAAATGCAGATTGTTTTATAATTACGCAGTTTCTGGAAGCAGTTTCTACTCCATCTGAGCCTCTGCTGATCTTTTCAGAGACACTTGCATGAGACACTTGCGCTTGGTTGGTCTGGAATCGCTTCATCCACACTGGCAACACTGGCAGGATTGTTTGTTTGAAGAAAGCGATGGCATTGCTTGGATAGAGATCATCAATACTTGCCAGCCGTATTACCTATGTCATAGTTGTGAAAGTGGTTATTGGCTATTGCTCAATTTTTTCATGTTATGTGGTTAATAAGGCAGTTACCTTCTCAGCAAATGCTACCAAAAGTGCATGATTTCTTAAACAGCGGTCGTCGATGTTCGGTGCTTCAATGGTAAATTGTTGACAGAGCTCATTAGTTCTAGTTATGCAGAGGTATTCGACAGATCTGCTGATTGCCACCATGGTCCCAAAAGCACTTGACCCTCTTTCCATTATTGCATTGTTTTGGAATTCTGCGTTCTGTTGATTCTCGATTCCGAGAGGACTTCTTGCTCCTTCTTGAAAGGGAATTAGGACAAGCCTTCCAAGTACTCTACAGCACGTGAAAAATTACATTAGTGCAATAAAAAGCAAACTTCTTCCATAAATACGGAAAAATCTACCTGGTGTCATTGTTTAATCCCTATAAAGTGTCCCAATTGACTGTGAACATCGGAATCGTTCGAGGAGCTGCTTCGAAAACACATTTCCCGTCTTTGCCAATGTTGTAGAAAGAGACCGCAACATTTTCAATAACTGTGGGGCTCTTAACGTCGTCGAGCACGGGAGGCAAAGTTGACAACTCGCCATCTCTCCACACGCATCAAAGAACACACACATTAGTAGTATAGTACATGGGGGTTCTAGCGCACTAAAAGTGCGCTATATTCCCCCCTGTACTATACTACATATAACCTTGGGTAAAAACTATCTTTATAACAGCTCAAAATAAGACCATAGTTCAAAAGGCGTCCCTCAGTAAAAGGTCATGTAAAAAAGCTGTGTAAAAAATTGTTTGTTTCAATATAGTAGTAAAAACTTTCTTTATAACAGCATAAAATAAGACCATGGTTCAAAAGGCGTCCCTCAGTAAAAGGTCATGTAAGAAAGCTGTGTGAAAAAGTCATTTTTCAAAGGGTAAAATATGGAATCTATATGTTTTAAAACTATCTTTAGAAATCAAGTGTTAAGAAAGCATCGTTTCGGAGGCGATCCATAGCGCAAATTTTAGCTACGCTAAAATTGAGCAGGGGATGGATCGCCGAGAATTCATGCGAGCCTGGTGGGTAAAAATTCTAGCTTTAGCTAGAATTTTCGGTCGCCGTTTTGTCCGAAGGACGACAGAGGCTTAAGAAATGCTCTTAAAAACTATCTTTAGAAATCAAGTGTTAATAAAACATCTTTTCAAAATATGGAATCTATATGTTTTAAAACGGTCTTTACAAACAAATGTTAAGAAAGCATCGGTTCGAGGGGATCAGCGCAGAGCACAAAGTGCTCAGGGAATGGATCCCCCGAGAATTCTGGAACCCAGGTGGGGAAAATTTTCACTTCGTGAAAATTCGGGGTTCCACCTTAGATTCGATGAATATTCGAAGAATATTCGAGAATAACAGAGGCTTAAGAAATGCTCTTAAAAAAACCGTCTTTAATAATCAAGTGTTAATAATCAAGTGTTATTAAAATATCAGTAGCAGCGCGCGTGTCTTAGTGCATGTTCTTAACAATGGTTGTTTAATGTAGATAGCACATTTCATCAGCGCATGTATAATAATACAATGTTTTACAAAATATGGGTTCTATATGTTTTTTTAATTTGTCTGTCAAGCGAGTGTTATATGTACATGTTTAACAATGTTTTATATAATTTTTGTTAAAAGTGTTTTTAATAATTGTTTCAGGATTTTGAATCTTTTTGTATATCGCTTTTGTATTAATTACTTATTACAAACAGTTATTAGTCAAACATGAGGATTATTCTTCATCTTAAGTTTTAGCTTGATAGTTATTTTTAATAAATTTTTTTAATTTTTCGATTTCATCATTTACAAATTTTTAGTTGATAGAATATTATCTTCTATAGTAGCCCTAAAATTTTGTGAAAACCATTAAATGACATAGATAATGTAGATTGATGTTGTGAATAAACTTGAATTTTGGTTATTCCATTAAATGCTGCCAGCCATTTTCTTTTCCATTCGTCATAACCTAGTGAAACTGAAGATTTTGTTGGTTCAATAATTAATAAAATATTATTATCTTTATCATCAACACAGTATACGTGATATAAATCTAGTAATGCATTAACTATCTTTTTTTCATTATCATTTGTTACTTTAATGATAAATTTTTTTTTAATCTTATCTACCATCATATCTAATTCAATTGTTTTAGAGTTATAAGATAGATTTATTAATAAAAGTGTAAATTCAATAAATTTAACATTATTAAAATAAATTCTGATAATATTTTGTCGGGTATTAAAATTTTTATAATTTAATTGATTGCTATGGTGTACTACTTTACCATTTACTCTGCTATCAATCTCATTCTTTGTATAATAGTTAGTTAAATTAGAAGTCAAAGCATACTTACCATCAGCTTGTGTTTTAGTATAGTAGTCATTTAAATTAGAAGTCAAAGCATACTTACCATCAGCTTGTGTTTTAGTATAATAGTTATTTAAATTAGAAGTCAAAGCATACTTACCATCAGCTTGTGTTTTAGTATAGTAGTTATTTAAATTAGAAGTCAAAGCATACTTACCATCAGCTTGTGTTTTAGTATAGTAGTCATTTAAATTAGAAGTCAAAGCATACTTACCATCAGCTTGTGTTTTAGTATAGTAGTCATTTAAATTAGAAGTCAAAGCATACTTACCATCAGCTTGTGTTTTAGTATAGTAGTCATTAAATTTATTATCAGCTTGTGTTTTAGTATAGTAGTCATTAAATTTACCATCTGTTTCAGTCTTTGTATAATATTTAGATAAATTAGAACTTAAAACATACTTACCATTTGTTTCATTCTTTGTATAATAGTTGGCTAATCTTGAAACAAAAACATATTTATTATCAGCTTGTGTTTTAGTATAATATTTTAGTAAATTAGAAGTCAAAGCATACTTACCATCAGCTTGTGTTTTAGTATAGTAGTCATTAAATTTATTATTAACTTGAGTTTTAGTGTAGTGTTATCTGATAGATGTGTTTTATCTACAGGTCCTTGTATATTTACATTAATATCTGTTTTATCATGCCCATAAAATAAGCTCATTTATATTATTCCTCAGATTTTATATCCTGTTTATTATTTTTATGTTCGTAAACATGTTTTACCTTATTATACCACCAGATAAAACCTAGAAAAGGTAATAGGGGTGATATTTTTTCTACTAAACTATAAACATCTCGTTTTAAAAGGTCGTCTGATTTAAGCTGTTTTGTTAATTCTTTTGAGTCTTCAATAGCATCAAACCCTTTTAATATATCTGAAAATTTTGATATAACTAAATCAGTTAAAACTCATTAGCTTTTTGTAATCGTTTTTCTCGTATTCAATGTATAATTTATCAATAATTTTTGACTAGCTTTTTAATGTAAGCAACTGACTTGTCTAAATCACCATCTTCAGCTAGTTTAAGTAGTTGATCTCTTTTATTAAAACCCTCTTGCGGTTTATCTTTTATATTATCATCACATACAGCATCTTTGATAGTATCATTTGCGGAATCAATCTCATTAATTATATCATCAAATATTGTTTCAGGCTCTTTACGCTTTGGCATATATATATTAACACATGTTTTATTGCGGAATAACAATTTTCCATTGGTATGGATATATTAGTTGAATAAATAGATGAGCAAATTTATTATTTTTCAATTTTTTGGTTATTTCTTCTATATCATATTTCTCAATACCATAAAGATAATCATCAAATATTGTTTTCATATTATTGCGGTTTGTATTATAAAATGCAACTAAATAACTTATATTTTCACGATAAGGTTTGGCAATACTTGTCAATTGCTGTGTAACCACAATAGTAGAAAGTCCATAATGACGAGCACTGAATGCTAAACGAACTAATTCAGAAGTCCTATTTTTAACATCATGCGAACAAGCTACATCATCTAATATAATAAGACTATTTGTACATTTATATACATTACTAACATATTTTAAAATAATATCTACTTGATCTTGGTTACATTCTACTTTAATTAAATCAGAATCATTTATATATTTCCATTCTTGATAGGTTTTATTATATGATAGCGTTGGACATAATAAAATAATATAATCAAAATGTCTATTAAAGTTTTCTTCTAACATTCTTAAAAGAAAGAAGGTTTTGCCACAAGCTGTCATACCTAAAATAATCATATTAAAGGGTGTGTTCATTTATATATTACTGGTTATTCTAGTATTGAATACTTTGTAAATCATTATTAACAAATTGAACAAGAGCATCACTAATAACATAGATGTAACAGTTTAAATCTTTTGTATATGCTCTTTTTAATTTCAAGCAAAACGCCATTTTGAGTATTAATGATTTTTTTACCGTTACCAGCAATATTTTTTTCTTGAAAGGTGCGTAGATCGATAACTAATGCAAATTTATCCTTATAAAATTTTTCAATTGTCATGAAGCAATCTATCGGAATAGTTCTATCAAAAATTTTCTTGCTTCTTCATAAAATGTTTTTATTCATACCTTGAGCGAAAATACAATTTGGCACACCCTCTATTGTCACAGAAATTTTATCGATTAATGGAAATAGAAATTTTTCACTATCACTAACTGAATCTTCTGTAAATAGTAGTACAATGCCTTTCATACTTTTACGAGGGACATTTATGTTTATATTCTGTAATGTACTTGACTTATCCCATTTTTCCTTTTTTAAGAGGGTTATATGTTCATAAAATAGGCTTCTTCCTATAGAATATAAATTTGTCACCTCATTTGCAATTTCTTGGTTTTCAATAGTTTCATATTCAAGTTGAATATTTTCTAATTCATAATCACCTATATTTTGACCGCTTTGGGGGATAAGGACTTGATCACTTGGTGGTAATGTTATTATGTATTGAAAGTTATTATTCATATTGAAAGGGCAATACAGACCATGGTCTTTAAGAATATTATCAATATTAATTTTTTTGTCTTATACCATAAATATCATACATTAATTTGTCTGATACTTTTTCTGAACTTCCACTTGTTGCAGCAGTATCATCTTTCGAAATGAGTTTTCGTAAATTTTCGCTACAAATACCGTATTCAATAAGGCCTTGTCGATCACTTTTAGGTAACCACAAGTCTTTGTATACACTTATAATATTATGTTCACTACAATCGTAAAGGGTTTCCCCAGCCACTTTAATTTGTAGTCTATGTTGTAAAATCTGACTGAGATTATTTATAAAGTGACTTTTTGTATTACTGATTTTAAGATCAAACGATAGATTAAGTGAACCAGGCACTAAGCAACTATTTGCTTTCAATTTCGGAATATTAATATAAACTTGTTCATTCGGTTTAAGACTATTAGGATTAAAGGTTATACTATAAAAGTACGGTTACCTTTAATTTTGTCATACTAATTCTTTTATAACCAGGTAAAAGCTCTTCTTGTAATCTGTTCATATATATATTAAAACATATTTTATTTTTTCTTTGTTTATACTGATCATATATTAACAAAGCAGCAGCAATAGCTAAAATCCATAGATTAGAAGCTAGCCATGCTAAACCTTTAGCTCCCAAGATATAGCCTGAGCGATAATATTTAATAATGGCCCTAAAACTGGCCATAATTTTTTACCTATATTTGCTAAAGCCTTAGAAAATTTACTAGTAGATTGAGCACCTTGAAGGATTGCTTTTCTAGATCCTATGACAATGGTTGTAATTATACCAGCCACAGATATAGATAAAGCTGATAATCCTGGGATATTTTCCTTAACCCATTCTTTAAACTGCTGTAATCTAGTAATGTCTTCTTCCTGTTTATCTCGTACATCCTCTTTTTCTAATTGATATTTTTCTTCTTTAATTATAATTTCTAATTCCGAGGCCCTTTCGTGCAAATTAGTTAATTCATCAATATTATTGTCAATACCATTTTCATTTTCTATTTCATCTATTCTAGCTATAGTTTTGTTTAGCTCTTCAGAAAAGTGATTTATTTGTGCTTTTATGAATTGTGGACGTGTTCTTTTATCAATAGTTGCAGAGGGGGTCATTAAACCTATATGTTCTCTAAGCTCTTGATTAGTTATTTGATTGAAATTTTCTGTATATTGATTATTTAAATCAACCATAGGCATACTCTCTTCAGTTTTTATAAATTCATTTTGCAATTTAATAATTTTTTTAATTTCTTTTTTAAATTTTTTAACAGCTTCTTTAGCACTTTTTGCTTTATTGTATTGTAGTTCTCCATTACTATTACGTTTTAAAACAATTCTTTCAGCACCTCGATTATTTATTTTATTTAATGGTTTGTAAGTAATATTATTTATATCAGTTTTACCTAAATTTAATCTAAAATTTAAACCTTCAGAAGCTGCCATACCTTTTAGGTGATTAAATCTAAACACTTTTTTATTTTTATCATTTTTTGTAATAAACTGTTCAACAGCAAAAGAAACTTCATTTTCAGGTCTATTATTATTTGTATAAATAGGAGTTGAATTAGTAGGAACATTAGGAAGATTATTATTTTTATTTGTTTCTTTTCTTATTGTTACACCATAATTATCATCAATAAATTTAAAATTTTGCCAATATTCATTATCATCGTTATCATATTCATTATCATCGTTATCATATTCATTATCATCGTTATCATCTTCTTGCTTTTTATCTTTTAATTCAATAAAATCAAAACCTCCTTCTGCCATTATATAGATTACTCTATATTTTGTATTTCACTTTCAGGAATCCAACTGTTATGTTTATTATCATAACCTAACCATTTAACTAAAACCATCTTTTTTCCTTTAACCTTCTTACGTTTTAATATCTTTTCAACTCTATAAACATCATCTTTCTTATTCACAACTGACAGTTCCTCTTCATAAAATTTACCAATTATAGGCTCTCCTTCTAAATCTTCTATTTCATATAAATTAGGGTCTCCTCTAATAACTTTAGTCACTTTAAACAACTCTTCTGTAAAATTTGCTTCATAGCCTTTCGTAAATATAGATTTATACTTTGATATTCTAACCATATCATTAATTTTAATCTTAGGTAATGGTAAATAAGCAACTTCATGACCGTATAATGTATTCCATACTTCATCTTCATTATTTTTATTAACATCTTTAGGCTTCATCAAGATTGTACTGTGTTTTGTATTGTTATAATTATATACTAAATCATCCAATATATCAATCCATTTATATGTTCCTTTACTGTAAAAATATTTCCACATAGATGTTTTAAGCGTTCTGTTGAATCGTTCGACAATAGAAGCTTTTTATCTATTTTTAGTAGAGAAGTACTTAATTCCATGTTTCTCTAATAATGATTTAACACCTACATTATAAAATTCTTTACCATCATCAAATTGAGCTAGTTTGGGTAATCATTAAATCTATCTTTAAATTGACTTAATAGTTTTGCAACAGCTTTTGTCATATTATTTGTGTCTTTCCTATAAACAGGGATAGCAAATGCATATCTACTTAATATTTCAATAGCTGTTAATATCCAATAATAACCATTGTTTTTATACTTATAAGAACCCATATCAACTAAATCCATTTGTATTTGTTCACCAAGATAGGTTACCCTTGTTTGTCTGAATTTATGTCTCCTAATAATAGGTTTATATCTAGTGTATGTATCTTGAGATATTAACCATTCTTTAACCTGTTTCCTACTAACATCTATACCTTCTTCTAATGCTTTCTGATACAGCCGTTCTGCTGATTGATAACCTGTTTTAGGATCATAATAAATATCTCTTAAACTTTGCTCAATTTTAATGTCTTCATCCATTTAACTTACTCAAGATAACATTCAAGTAGAATACTACCTACATTCACAGGGTTACCATCTTGATCTAATATATTAAATTTTAGCTCGTTAAAGGCTCCTTTTACAATTGTAACTTTAGATTCAATATCGTTGTATTCGTATACAGTACCAAATAACGACTGAATTGTTATTACTGGTAAAGTTAAAGCTATATTACTTTTTTTTCCTTCAGGGTTATAATTATAACTTGAATTTACAATATTAGAAGAAATTTGAATATAGTTTAATCCTCTGTTTATATCCACTTTAGAGACACCATTTTGTACGATACCTTTTTTCATAGTTTTTATAGTATCATTAAAACCTAACATTTTAATAAGAGTATCAGACAATACTAATATTTCATCATTATTATTAGTTATTTTACAAGTTCCATTATTTTCTACCATCTCAAGCTTTACGTTAACAGACTCAAAAAACGTTTTAAGCATTTTAACAGTCCAGTAACCAGCATCTATATTATATTTTGTTGTGCCTATTGTAAAAGCTAAAGTATTATTTAATTTAACATTTTTATATTCCCAATACACATAAGCTTTTTTGATATATAAATATGAATAGTTAGATGTTACTATACTTTCTTGTAAGTAAATTTTTTTACGATCTCCGTCTATAAAAACAGTGAACTTCATATATAACATAGCTTATATTATATGTCAGATAAACAAATAAAAGAAAATGCTATAAAATTAGGTGATGATGATTCAAAAAATGTACAAGCATGGCCAAAAATATATTTAAAAACAACTAAAATGCCTTTGTTTTCAAATCTTGTGGCAGCAATAAATGGAGATGAAGGTCATTCTAAGGACTATTTTGATCATATGTTGCATAGGTGGTCATCAAAGTTTATTGTAAAACCTACATTTCAAAGGCCGGTAAATGTAGATATCTGTAACTTCAGATTGTATGTCACAGAGAATGATTATTTTATGAGTAGTTTACAACCTATAACAGCCACGTGGTCAAGTGAAATTAAAAGTAAAAAAGAACAACCTACTGGTATAAGATACAATATTAAAAGTCATTTAAATTATAAACAAGAAGCATACTATGCTATGATTTGTGGATGTTATGTGGCTTCGTTTCTATCTGGTATTGGGCTTAATCATTTAAATTTTGATAAAAGCAGAATTATACAAAGCCTTGTTAAATACCATTTATATTATCAGATTAAAAAATTTATGAAGCATCCATCGTTATTAGACAAATATGACTTTACGGAATTGAAAAAGCATATACCTTATAAAGGTATTTTAAAATTTGATAAAAACAATGATGGTTATTATGTTAATTTTCAATATTCGACTACTGATTATCGTAGCTTCATTGCATATCATTCGGAAGGTATTACATTAATTGGAAAAATTCTTTTGCAAGAGAGCATTGAAAGTTTTGTTTATACAGTTCTTGGAGCTCAAGCAAATACAAGATGGTCAATAGTTAATCATGGAGCTAAGAGCATGCAAACACAAAAGTTTTAGGAAATTATTAGAGGATACTATAGTACAGAATGATACAACTGTATTTATATCTAACATGAGGAAAGCTATAAAAGACACGAATGTTATTTTAAATATGGCAATCAGCCCTGGTATGATTTTAATACCCAGCCGTATGATAATATTAAATAAAAGATTGATGGGTATAATAATATTTTAACATTAGCTAATAAAACTATGAAATTCGGTATTAATTCTAAAATAAATTATTATGGAGTTAAAAGGAAGAACCTAAAAAGTACATCAAGATAATACACCATCACAACACCTAGATACTCTAGATGAAGTTCATAAAAACCAGTAGTACATAAACATACAAAATGATAGTAAATAATCCCCATCAAACAGATATGATTGCTTTACTCGGTATATCAACGCTATCATCATTCATATTAGTTAAATATGTTTTATAATATAATATGAAGAAAGTTCTAGATTTTAATCATATTTCGAGTGAGTTGAGTCAAGATGAATTTGAAAAGCTGAAAAAGTTGTATTTGTACTATCATAAAATGTATACCTGTTATAAATGGAAGTATAATAAATTAAAGAAAATTAGACTATCATTAAACATGGGAAGTATTTTTCTAGTCTCAACTGGTGGTATTGTTGGTAGCGTAACCCTGAATCCGATAGTTATAGCAACCCTGAGTGGTTTAGGGGCTTTAATTCAAGGTTATATGGTTAAAAGTAAGATTAATAATAACTTAGAAATGTGTAAATTTGCATATACATCATATGAAAAAATACTTATGAATATAAGATCATATTTAAGAGGATTACCTTATGATGAAGTGATATTTCTATCAGACATAAAAGTTATCGATGATATTATAATAGACAATTGCACTACTATAGATGGTATGGTGAGTAAATATAACAAAAAATATAAATGATCTGTGAGTTATCTATAAGATTATCTGTGAGTTATCTATAAGATTGTCTGTGAGTTATCTGTGAACAAAATCTACAGTATTATATAACATGTCTGAAGAAAATCTAAAAATTACTACAGTTAAGAAAGAGAAAGACCCTATTAGAGTCGAAGCTGGTAAACGCTTAGCTGCTATATCGAAAGTTGCTAAAGAACAAAAAATGAGAAATAAGATTGAATTAGAAAATAAAAAGAAAATTGAAGATAATAGCTGGAATATTAATTATGGATTCTTATTTGGAGCAGTTGGAGTATTAACTGCTATTGCTAGTCTCTATTATACACAGAAAAATGATAAAAGGCAGGAAAAATTAACAAACGATAAAGCAAAAGAAGAAACAACTAGTGAAAAACATGTTTTGATACAAAAAAATAAACAATATAATTTAGACTCATTTGAATAAAATATTTCCTATTATATATGAGTAATACTATGAATAAGAAACAATTTATGAATGAAGCTTTTGATGCAGTGCTTGTGACAACAACTGCTGTAGGTCTTTCTATGGTGTCTAAAAAACTACTAGGTCAAAAATTAACAGATACTGATAATATTAAAGATTTTACAAAATTAGCTATTGCTATTACAACATCAACAATGCTAGTTAAATATGCTCAGGATAAAAAATGGGTCCCTGAGAATCCATTTAAATCTGCATAAATATATATGACAAGTTTTATTACTAGTGGAGTTGGAACAGCTTTTGGAGCTGTTGTTAATGGCCTAGGATTTAGTCTAGCAGGCTGGTTATTTCATAAACTTGATAAAAACGGTTACGTTGAGGAAATGAAAAGATACCACGAGTCTTTAGTAAAACTACAAAAGGCTAAAGAAGCGTTCTATGAAAATGAAGTCAAGCAGCATGATAAAATACAACAGCTAAGACAAGAACTTCAATATGCTGATAATGATATAGAACTTACAAATAGAGCTCTAGATGCGCTTAGAAAAGTAAAAACGATACAATACAATGGTCTAACATTTCACAGAGAACCACAGTTAGATGACTTTTACAAACCATCTAAGAATATGAAAAATTATCAATCTGGTACAATGGTTGTGATTGGTATTATATCTGGATATTTATTATATAAAATTACTTAAAAAATAAAATATATAGTATTAGTATATATGTATTGCAATGAATTTGTTCATAAAGAGTTAGAAGAGTTTTTTGGTTATGTAAATTGTTGCTTTTGTAATAAAAAGATTTGTGATAGTTATAATAATAGATCTTCTAGGGTATACTTATGTTGTGGAAATCAAGAAATTATTTTAGATAACAATAAAATGAATGTTTGTAAGAACTGTGGTTCTGTTCACTTGTACATAAATCATTTTGTTAATGAATGGATACCAGAGATTTGGAAATGTCAAAAATCAGTTCATTCAAGGAGAAAATGGTTTTATAATAAACTTAAATTGTGTGTACCTTTTGAATATGTTGAGATGATTACAAATGATTTTATAAAAGTTGTTAGTACTATGATTAAACATAAGTTGATACAGAAAAAGAATATTAGCATGTATAACTATTATATAATACGCTTAGCCAGCCGTAGGGTATACCATTAAAACACCCTGTTAGAGATATGAAAATAGTAAGACAAAGAGGATTTTGATGATAGATTATTTGGTGAAGTATATAAAATCCTTAAGTGGGATAAAGATATTGACTGTACTTATTATAACAACTGGGCCCAGTTAAAGAAATAAAACATTTATGATTATATATGAATCTTAAAGATCTATTAAAAAAGATTAGAAATTTTATTCTATGTTGTAAAAAACTAGTTCTAATATAGAAGGTGTTTTGAAGGATTTTGAAAAACATTGTATAAATCAAAAGATAATTTAAACGCACCTTAAAAAATAATATATATAGTAATTATATAGAATGGTGAAAGTTATAAAAACAAAGATGTATATAAATTTAAAGGACATGAAATTAATTTAGATTTATTAGATGAAATTATGAAAGATAAAAACATGTATATTAAATCATTAAAGTACGAACTTTATTATAAAGACGATATTGATAGATATATAACTAAATATTATGAATTGAATACAAATGAGTGGTTATCTTTTCAAAAGATAGATATAATGTTGAAAATATAAAAAAATATTACATGTGATGTGTAGTATGAATATTGATTATGAACCTGTTATATTGAATACATTTAAACCATCTAATATTTATACTATTAGTAGTGATTTTATATACCTAATATATATAATATTAGTAGTGATTTTTATACACCACAGTTTACACATATCACTGAAGCTTTGTTTAATAAAGATCATGGATGGGATGATTGTTATTTTAAGTATGAAATCAACAATATAGATACAGATGTTTATGTTATAAAATTTGATTTATATGAATATGGTCCTTATATAACTGCTTCTGGTATTATTAGAATCTATCTTAAACGCATTAAATAACTATTTAAAAAATAAAATATATAGTATTAGTATATATGTGTTCAGATAAACAAATACGAGGAAGACCGAAAATTTATACTAAAGAACAAATCAAACAACATAGGACATTATATATGCTATCAAAACCATGGCATTGTGATTTATGTAATAAAACATATAGTTTAGCATATAAAACTTTACATCTTAAAACTAGAAAACATTTAAAAAATTCAAAAAATTTAGGTGCGTTTAACAAAAAAAATAATAATGAAATTCTTAGTCTAGTGTATTTCGGCGCTGGCTGGGATTTTCGAATGGTTGATAAAGATTTATATTCTAAATTTAGTTTTTTTATATACATAGATGCTTTACCAACAAAATTATTACATTATCCACCTGATTCTACAGGATATAAAAAATGTAAAGATCTCCCAACATTTATACATACACTAATTACAAAAGCAAATAATATCAATTAAAATTAGTTGAACATCATAAACATTTAAATTTATTAATTTTTAAAACTGATGATCATAAAAAAGAACTTCACTATTATTATAATACAACAGTACAAGGAGCTCTCGATAATAAAATTATTAGAGAAAAATTAAACAAAGTGATCTGGATACACGAGAAGAATTTCATACCATGGTATTTCGGTCTTGAAACAGGAATGTTACCCAACACAATAAAAACTGAAGCTAAATTAAGAGAATATTTACAAAATATTTAAAAAACACTCAAAAGTTAAATAGATTAATTTAATTATTTTATAAAAGTTTTAAATATAGATTTATTTCTATAATTAAAATTAGTGCGTTTAAAAAATAAAAATAAAATATATAGTATATATATGAATAGAGATTATTTAAATCGAAAGGTACTTAAAGACAAACCTATATTATATAATATGCATAAGATGAATAAAGATAAAACAAAACATAAAGTACTTAAAGACATGAGTATTTTATATAGTATGCCTAATATGAAAAAAGATGAACTTCAAAAGTTGACTAAAGACGATTTAATTAATTTAATATTAAATCAAAAGCCGTGGGTTGAAGGTAATAATACTTCAATTTCCAAACCAGTACAAAAAGTACTATCACAATCCAATATCAAAAAAATGACTGTGCAACAGTTAAAAAATATTGCTAAGGAAAAAAGGTTAAAGGTTATTATAAACTTAGAAAAACGAATTAATCAAAGTATTAACACCAGTCCCAAAACCAAGAAAGAGTGTAAAAGAGATGATTAAAGAGTATGAGAACAATACACAGATGCTATCAGATAAAAATAAAAACCAGTACCAACAAAAGAGTTAAAATAAGAGAAACAAACAATGCTTAAAGGATTTACTAAATCATATGAAATAAGCATTATTAACAATAAAGATCCATTAAACAATTGCAGAACACTAGAAAGTATCTTACATATTATATTAAAGAAATATTAACAACAATGAAAGGATTAAAATTTATTGAAACGCTTAAGGTAACATTTGAAAAATTTGAAATAAAAGATGGTGGAACGGCTGGTTATTTAACAAAAGTTGCTTATTTCAATAGTCCAGCTTTAACAATTACAAATAATGAAAATATTACTGAATCACTACAAATTTCAGAACAAAATATATTAAATAAGATTAGTAAATTTACACAAGAAGGTTCTGGATGGGTTATTCGCTCTATAGATAATCATTATCTTAATGTTGTTAAATACAAACCATTGCAAGGGTCTTCATACATTAATTTACCTCAAGAACTTAAAAACCCTAATAAAGGTTTGATAAATATCAAAAACCATGATAATGAATGTTTTAGGTGGTGCCATATTAGACATATTAACCCACAAAATAAAGACGCACATAGAATTAAAAAATCTGATAAAGAATATATTGAAAAGCTTAATTATGAAGGGGTTGATTTTCCAGTGACTGTTAAACATTATAATAAAATCGAAAAGCAAAACAAAATTAACATTAATGTCTTCGGTTATGAAGATAAACAACCATATCCATTATTCATATCAAAAGAACAATTTGAAGACCATATAGAACTACTATTGATAACTGATAATGAAAACAAACATTATGTATTAATAAAAGATTTTAATAAATTTATGTACAATCAAACAAAGCATAAAGAAAGAAAACACTTTTGTATGCGCTGTCTTCAATGTTTTAGTTCTGAAAAAATATTAAATAACCATATAGAAAACTGTATATTAATAAATGGTATACAATCAATAAAAATGCCTGATAAAAATAATAACATACTTAAATTCAACAACTATCATAAACAACAAGCTGTTCCATTTGTTATATATGCTGATTTTGAAGCTATTACAGAAAAGATATCTGGTTGTAACAAGATAATAGTAAATCATATACAGAAGCCTATCAAAAGCATACAGACTGTGGTTATGGATATAAAGTTGTTTGTTGTTATGATGATAAATTTACAAAAAATTCAATATATAGAGGTGAAAAGGCTGTTTACAAATTTATGGAAGCTATGTTAAAAGAAGTTAAATATTGTAAAAATATTATGAAAACCCACTTTAATAAACCATTAAAATGACCTCTGATGATGAAGAAGAATTTAAAAAGCTGATGAATGTCATATCTGTAACAAAAATATACTAACAAAGATATTCGAGTTCGAGACCATTGTCATATCACTGGAAAATATAGAGGTCAGCTCATCAAGATTGTAATTTAAAACTTAGAATAGACTCTGATAAATTAAAGATCCCAGTAATATTTCACAATCTACGTGGGTATGACAGTCACTTCATAATGCAAGAGATCGGAGCTATTGTTAATAAGCATACAAAAACAAAA